AAAAAAAAAACAACAACACAATCACCACATTAAAAATCTGGATTTTGAAATTCTGGTTGGTTTTAAGTTTGTCTGTATTTACAAAGCTGAATATTACACAAACATCTGAAAATCACCTACACAATTAATGGCAAAACTGTGGCTAAAACTCAGACCTCAGGAGTCCCAGTAGAGTACTTGTCATTGAACATTACTTTTTTTATTTCAAATTTTATAAGTCTGGGGTATAAACAGGAAATTTCATAGAATCATTTTGAAAAAAGCCATAGGTGCAGAGGCTGAGGATACCAAACAAGCCACTTATTTTCTCTGACTAGAAGATCCTTTAAATGTCCAAATAAAGATGTAAGAGGGTAATGGCATGTCACCCACAGGTTGGAAGCACCTGGTGGGAGGGATGGAAATGAGAAAACTATTTTGAAAACTCAAAGAGATGATGGATACATTGTGTGGTCATGCCTGTGTCTGTCTGTCTGTTGCGCTTGTGGAAGTCAGAGGACAACTTGCTGGAGTCAGTTCTGCCTTTCCATCATGGGGGTTTCAGGGACAGAATTCAGGTTGTTAACCCTGTGACTAAGTGTTGTAACCTACAGAGACATCTTGCCAGCCCTCTTTTCTTGAGACAGTTTTTCACTGAGCCTCAAGTTCACTGATTCAGCTGGCTGCCTGGCTGGCTAGAGCCCCAGAGACTGTCTCCATTCCACTTCTACAGCACTGGGATCAAAGGTGCTAACAATTATATGGGGATTTGAACTCAGGTAAGCAAGTCTGCAAAGCATTTTACCAACTTAACCATTTCTCCAGTGTCTTAAATTCAGTTTTGTTTGATATCAGCACAATCCTGCCACTTACTTACACTTTATAGAAGCTATTTCTGCCCTAAGCAGAAAGTGTTTCTTTCCTTTAAAGATTTATTTATTATGTATACAGTGTCTTGCCTGCATGCCAGAAGAGGGTACCAGAACTCATCATAGATGGTTATGAACTATCATGTGGTGCTGGGAATTGAACTCAGAACCTTTGGAAGAGCAGCTGGTGCTCTTAACCTCTGAGCCATCTCTTCAGCCCCAGAAAGTATGTTATAAGCGTAAGCACATATAGGATAAAAAGAACAGCAAAATATTTGCCCTATAGTTTTTGACCTTTATAGGATACTTTAAATTTTGATACATCAAGATTTAATATAAAACTATACATTGATAATACTTATGTCTTCAGGGCTAATACATATTTAAACCATTTCCATTTTCATACTTTGAAGTAAAGACACAAAATTGCTTGTCTGTGGAGGTTGGAACAAGAATAGCAGTGCAAGATGGACAGGTCACAGATTCAATATAGTATATGGCCACCCAGGAATAGTGTGGAATGCTGCCGTTCTCATTCCTACAATGTCCCTAAACAACAGGTTCAAATCTAGGACAATAGCCACCCTTGAGCCTTAGTGAGTGGTCCCATTATTTAAATTGAGCGCTGGCATGTTTCACCATAAATTAGGGGCAATCAAAATGTTGAACTGATAAAAACATATTAGAGGCTAAAGATATCCTAAGAAGTATGGCAAGTTCCGCAAATACTTTGATAGCTCTCTCATGGTTTGGCCATCATCTGGAAAGAAGACTATAAACTATAACACATGGGTTCTTTTTTAAAGTGTCAGAGACTCTTTAAATGAATGCATGTCTTACGGACGAATAGTTTTTACATATGATAGTACTGGCATATTTCTAAACTAAGTGAATTATTAGGCAATTATTAGGCAATTATTCTTTAAGAGCTGAGCCCTATATTGTATGATCACAAATGAAGCCTGTGGCATTTTATCAAATTGGATAAGACCACTCCAGGTTAACACCTCACACCGTGTGTGTATGTGTGTGTGTTAATCTGCACCTGAACTTAGAAGGCTCCATTTACTTACTTGTATAGGAAGTAGTCTAATTAGAAGAGTGAAAGTTTGCCACTAGGCCCAAGTACCAGTGTCCTCCTCAATCTTTTATCTTTAATAGGCTATGGTTGCTAACAGTGCATTTTGCATCATTATTTTCAACTGTTTCTTGACACCTAACAATATTATTTTAAGCTCTAGCCAAGTAGATTTCTAATAATTATATAATGTCTCTTGGTAATGATCTGCTGCTCAAGCTATACATTCTACTTTACCTTTCAACACAGACTTGATAACCTCTCATTTACTAACTGTAATTGAGGCAAATTCAGCCTTGGCTAATTAGGGGCTCTTAGTACCCCCTCATATATGCTATTCTTGACAACATACCAATAGAGTCAGGGTTCATTTTCATTTTTAAATTATGTAATAAGTATGTGCAACTTTAAAAAAAATAGAATGTTTGAGGACTTACGACTATTTTACAAATAGCAAGTCTAATGTTCTACTGAGGGTGTACAAAAGTGAGAACAATTTCTTGACTAAAACACAAAGCTTTGGAAGCAAGCCTACAACCAGGCCAGACGCTCAGGTGCTCGGCGGACTACCTAACAGGACAATTAAGAGACTGTACTGTGAATGCTGGCCTCCCTGGGTCTGCTTTAGCTAGCTCTGATAATTACGGAAGTTACTGAGGCAATCTTCTGAAGTTCAGCGAATGAAGAGGCACTGAACTGGGGAGTATTTTGGAGACGGAAAAAAGTTCTATCTTTACTTCCTGGCTTAACAACAGTTAAGCTTTGCAGGTGTCACCAAGACAAAAACATTGAAGATCTTCAGAAAACAGCCCTCCCTCCCAACAACGACTGTATCTAGAGGGGACTCTCTGCAGAATGGCTCTACTTTTTTTTCCCATCGAATATGAATGTTCTCTAGCTAGGAAGAAGCATAACAGAAATAACGTCAACTTACCATTCTTTTTCTGTTCAACATTTTTGAAAATCACCACATAAGCAAAAAAGTAAAAGAGAAGTTGGAAATAAAACATATGCCCGTCAACTCAGACCAATTCCAAGTCGAAGCAGAAGTTGTTAATATGGTTTCAGTATTTTGTAAAAGAGCCAGCTGGATAGATGATAATTTTTCTACCCCTGCAGGGCATCAAAGCTTTTAGGAAATCATTCTTTTCACACATATTAACACGTAGCTTATTAAAACAGATGATACTTTTATTGTAAAACGGCCTGGAAACATAAAGTCAGAACGATAAGGTTCACTTTGACCACCCAGTTGCACAAACAGCACACACGGACACGACAGACCGCGGTGGAGATGCTGACGTGGTGGGACCTTCTGCTACTGCCACAGCTGAAGTGTCACCACGAGGCCCGCGAATTGCTGTTATGAAAACATTTGCGGTAACTTGCATAATTAAATGAAACTGCCAGAAAAGCATTTCTAAAATGCAGAGACGATGCATGTAAATACACTTCAAAGAGACTACCAGGGCCAGGATGAGCACTGGGGCGCTGTGCACAGCTGCACCACTGTCACAATGCCATTTCCTTTGAACTGAGTGGTCGTAGTTACAGGTGAGTGACAGCACCGTTACTGAGTGCTTTCTTAGTTACCTTTAGAGAAACCCCATCAAGAGCCTAAAACTAACCGCTCCCATGCCTAGTTGTTAGTTAGGCTTACATGAAGACCTTAGTAGTGACAAAAATAATCACATACATTTTTTGTGCACATTAATATTTTAAATCAAGATAAAAGTGTTCAATGACCCGTGGTTGTGTTGGCTACTTACATCAAACAGCTTTTCTATATACATTTCTTCGTTGACTTTTTCTCGAAGAATATCCTGGTTTTGCCGAACAAACATAATGTAGGTGTCTGCCAGATCCATCCCTGGTTTCTGTTGTATGGGAAAAGGATGAGGAATTAAAAAAGAAGTCAGTTCTCATTTCTGAACTTTCATTTAATAATATTTCGATGGCTGTTGAAACTGTTCACACCTATGAAATATGTTTACACCAAATCAACAAAGACTAACACATGTACAGGTTTACCACTGATCTTTACTGCTTAAGGTCACATCCATTGCTGTTACGATGATTAGGAAGACATGGTTATAGGCTTGTGCACACCTTTTAAAGGATGTTTATTTTATGTTTAATTACTTGTATGTGTGCATCTGTGTGTGGGTATAGTATGTGAATGTAGGTGTCCTGAGACACCAGAGGTGTGGAATTATCCTGGTGCTGGAGACTACAGGCAATTGTGAGCTACCCAACTTGGGTGTCAGCAAGTAAACTCAGGCCCTCTGAAGACAGTGTGCAGCCTTTACCTGCCGAGACGTCTCTCCAGCTTCCCATACATACCTTTTTCAAAAATGAGTAAACTGAAAAGTCACAATCTCAAGAAGTATAAATAAGGAGATTAAAAGACAACTTCTCAATGGAAATATTATTCCTTAGTTATAAGTATCATACAGCTGACTTTTCATTACCTGCTACTGGCTCATCAATGATAGGAAAACCATTAGTTGTCTTTGATTTGCCTCTTTTGAGTACTATGGGTGTACAAAGAATACAAAGTCGATGTTCTTATTAAGATTTGTAAGACAGTAGGAAACTTGGGAAAACATTTAATACAAAGTAAAATAAAACAATTTTTGGATGGCCTGTTGCTTCTACTCATTACTCACCAACATTATCTTACAGACATCTTTTATTATAGAAGTGCAGTGAGAATATCAATTCATTCATCTCTTAGGTTGGACCAAGGAGGTGAACTAGCTATATTATCTAGCATTTGGTATTTTCTCCTGTTACAAGAGGAAGGGTAGTTAGCATAATTCCTCTTTGATAAATCAGGATGAGGGTCAAAAGTCTTCAGGACTGCCAAAGAAATTTCCTTCTCAACTTATCATTAGCTCTTTCTCACGTATGTAGGCTGACTGATTGAAAAATCATTTACATCACTTACATCTGGGGTTGACTCAGCCCCAGTATTGAACTGTTAGATTAAAGTATAACGTTAGTAAGAACGTGACAGTAGAACTGATGGCCAGTTAAGAGAGTTAAGCCCACACCATCCCACGGACACAGAATGTGCTTACAGTGTTTACTCACAGACTCACTTTCAAAAGTGAGCACTGAAAGAAGATCAGGTAGAAGAGGACACGAGCTATCGAACTGTTATCACTTCTGCAAAAGCAGCATGAGGCGTAGATCTGACCAGTGGAGGCCTGGCGTGAACATCTCCTCGTGAGGGACAGAGAGTTTTTACTACTTTATGCTCTTTTTGAGGAGGGTGGATTGATATGTGATATGCCGTAATAAGAGCGCCTGTCCTTAAACCATTGCATTTATAGGAACCAGCTCTTTCATTTCAGTTATACACATCAGACCTTATGTTAGATGCCTACTTTTTTGTACAGTAATGATAACTGCTTTTATTTTTATTTATTTATTTTTTGAGACAGGGTCTCTTGTAGCCCAGGGGACCTTGAACTTGCTATGCAGTTGAGAATGATTTTTGAGTTCTGATCCTCTTTGCCTCCATTTTCCAAGTGCTAGGCCTGGCACTGTGTACCACCATGAAAGCTTATGGAGTGCTGGGAATGGAGTGCAGGGTTCTTTTGTTTGTTTGTTCGTTTTTTGTTTTTGCATGCTAGGCAAACCTTCTATCAACTGGGCTATACCCCCATCCCTGATAACTTAAATTCACCTTCAAGTAGAGAGGACAGAAACTTCAGAAACCTTTACAGCATAACCCTGATATAATTAAATTATGTTAACATCTAAAATAACCATTTATGCAAATGTTCTCACAAGCGTCTCCTCTAGGAGCATCCATTCACAATGTGGGCAGTACATTGTCAGCCTAGTGGAGGCAACCAAAGAAGTTCAACCAGTGTTTGAAAGTTCAAGTAACTACAAAGATGGTGGTCAAAACTCCAAGCTGCTTTTATTTGGGGTGGCGAGGCTTACAGATCAGTCTTCATGTGAAGAGGTGGGGTCATTTACAAAAAGATTACCAGTCCTGGTTCTACAGGGAGAAACGGCCAACATGGCAAGTATTTTTCTCTGTCCCTCTCAAACTTTGTCAAAACACTGAAAATGAGAACATTCAGAAAGCATGCTGCCGTGGAGTGAAAATAATATGAGGCCAATTTTCTTTACTTACTACAGAGGGAACTCGGCATCTGAGTTTCAGGCAGGTGCCTGCAGACAAGAAACTATGACACCAATAATAGCAAGGCATCGAATACAGCCCACTCCACTGGAGATGGGATGGAGGCTTGCCTTGCCTTCCCTCATGTCTCCCTACCCAAACTCTTTTTTTTTCTTTAATTTCCACCTCTCAAAAAAAAAAAAAAAACAAACTATGCTTGGAAGTTTAATCCAATCAATCACTTCGTCCAACAGCCTCAGCGGAAAGCCAGTTACTGCCAGGAAGAACAGTGGCCAGCTTGTTTACTCTCACAGAAACTCCTGTGGTCATGATCACTTTCAAGATAACAAGTGACTTCATAAAACACTGTCCAGGAAGAGTTTATCTTTCAGCATCTAAAACCAGCAACCGCTCTGTAGCTTGACCATAAAAGAAAAGCGAATTTTGGTTCCTTACTGGCAGCCTCCAGCGATGTAATGCTGAACACTGGAGTGAGTTCTGCCACTTTGTAAGTGTGTGGGGGAGAGCTCATCCAAGTTTGTATTTTCAAAGTCGCATTTTCTTCGTTTTTGGCAAATTAAGATGTACTAGCTTGGAAAATAAAGCCTAGACTTCTTAACATTCCTCATTAGCATGACTCCTTCCTTTATCTTGGCGCTGTTTACCTATTCTTGAAACTGTGACATATGGGAATTTCACACCTAGTGAATGTATTTTCATGCAGTTTGTGGCATGAGACTATAATCATTAAGAGAATATACACAAGTAAGAGTAACCGCAGCACCTGGTGAGATGTTCCAATTAGAGTTATAGTCTTTAAGACACTTTATCCTTCACGTGGTGCACGCAGGGTAATTATCTCTGATAAACTGCTGAAAAGGATGCAATTTTCCTTTTAAACACTTTCTACCTTCAGTACAAATGTGTTTGGATAGAAGACATTATCACTGGCTCAGTGCTCCTTTGTGCCAGAGCTCTTGTGACGTGGCCCGTGGAATTTACACATCTGAGAAGTCACTGCTTCTGGTTGCAGCGTTAGCTGTTATTGTATGGGCCTCAACAAGCCTGAGAGCTAAGCCCTCCGATGGTAGCTGTTTGCGCTTGGTTTGGAACATGGATGAGACGGATGTCTGCAGCTGCACTGTGGAGGAGGAGGAGGAGGAGGAAGCAGCTCCGGATTCTCACACAAGAGGTGTGCCTTCCAGTTCCACCGGGAGAACACACTGTGGAACGCCGATGATGACAGGCTCCCACACCTTGTTAGCCAAGAGTACCGCATCCTACAGCGCCATGCTTAGAAATTGTTTCTGTATTCCTAATTAAATTATAGTTTCCTTAACGAATATGAGAAAATAACAATTAAAGACCACATGGCAAGTGCTCTATTAAACACAATTTGGGAATATAAATTTTTTTTTTCATATTTTCAGTTTAAACCTCTGAAGCCCTCAGTTCACTGCATAAACTTTCCCACCTTGCTTATTAGGACAGTTGTCTCTAAACATAAAAAATTCCTAAGTTACTTTTACTCTTCTGAGCAGGAAAGGCAAATTTGGCCAACAAAGCTATAGTAAGAGGACATAGAGATATATTAAAAAAAAAAAAAAATTCCCCCATGAACACAAAGGAATCAGGAGCCACGGAAGGAAAATGAAGTATTTTAAGGGGAGTTCTACTGACATTGGTTTACAAGTAACTGAAGAGTAAGGGTGTAGTCTCCGGCATGATTTTTTTTTTCAACATTAATTACTAGTTAACGCAGCAAGAGGAACATACCACTTAAAAAGAGAGAAAAAAAATTCCTTGCTAATTATATGCTGCAAACGCTCTTACTTCCTGCTGCTCTACCTAATCCCACAGGTGCGAGTTTTCACTTCCCTATTCATGGGTAAGTGGGTATGACACGGCAGTCATTTTTCACAGTGACAGAGTTAGATATAGAAGAAGCTGCTTAACCTTCCACTGGAGGTTAACGATACACTACACAAACACTGTCATGGTGTCTGTTTAACAAGGAGACACACTTTAAATATACCATTCCTGCCTGAAAGATTAACTAGAAGCTACGGTGTAATTGACTTAATTTAAAAGTGCACTTCTCCCCTAAAAAAAAAAAAAGAAAAAAAGAAAAAGAAAAAAACCAACTTTCATTGAAGAGACAATCTAGAGTGAAACTATGCTCTCCTCTAGTATATGATCTGTAGGGCTTTGTGAATGAAATTTCATATTCTCTCATATATTATCACTGACAAAGTGAAAGGCTTGAGACAAGAGCATGGTTTTGGAATCTGAAAGTGTCACAGGAGCCTTTTGTAGCCCAGGCCAGGCATGTAAGACTCAGTAATAACTTAAAAAGCTAATTATTGGGAGACATATAACTGTCTTGGTGATTCTTAAGAAACAGCATGTTTGTTCACTGTTTAATGCATACATTTCATTATTTTGACATTTACACATCAATTTCTGTGTTTTGTATTTCAATTAAAAAACATTCAACAGCATTTTGAAAGCACTTACTTTTGCATATATGTTCTCAAAAATCTTTAGACAATAGTTATGTATTTTTGTGATGATGCAATAAATATGTACTTAATTTGCCTTTTTAAAGAAGTAGCACAATTATATTGCACCTGATAGAACGCCAAAAGAAATGGAGTCAAAATCATCAAACTAGACTGATGCCAACTTTAGTATTATGTTTACCTCTAGAGAGAGGACTAGCTTATGGAAGGGGCA